TATAAATAATGTATAAATCTAGATAACATTAAAGTACGTTAAAAATTTAAAAAATTACCCGAGTCCATGGTTAGCAAAATAAGGCAAATGAGAGATCAAGGTATCGTCTATATCAAAGATCCATATGTCGTTGCCGTCGCCAGCGAGCTTCAGGCTTTTAGCGTAGCGAAGGGCCTCCTTAGCGACGGCTCTCGAGTCTCTCATGTACTGACTGTGATGGCCTAACATGTAATGCTTCAAGTTCAAGTAATTTTTATGTTTAGGAACTGTGTTTGTTCGCATAATTTTATAAGTCCCCACGACCCAACTCAGGTATGAAAAACCCAGGGACGTTGCTACAAGTGTGGCTAGAACAAAAAAGAATGAAAACATTTTCATGATATATAGCTGTATATTAGTGTTTCTGAAATCTGAAGAAGAGATTTGAACAGTTTTTGATACATTGATTTGCATAATTTGCCTACTTTATATAGGCTAATTAAGCTTTGTATGGTGACTTCATAGTCATAGATGACCTACCAGATTACCTTATTTAGGAACATTAAATTCTATGTCTTGATTCTTGCCGATTGAGTTTTGCCAAAACGAGAAACTTTTCCGTAGAGTGGATACATTGTATTACTTGAAACCCATGTCCAATGTTTTTAAATCCGGCCCGGGTCAAGGGGACGGTTCCCAGGTTGACCGGTCTGATCAGTTGGACCGGCGATTGTTATATCCTGTAGTTTTGAAATATAGCAAACACACCCCTGAGAAATTACGCATCAGTCTCTATAGATTTGAAATCCGACAAAAACACCCCTACGATCTGACCAAATCCAAATTATATGGGTTTTTTTAATCTTTGATCTACAAATTTCCACCGGTCCATTTCTTTTTCCCTTTTTCAATTCCCACAAACTTACCCTAGCAGACAAAACCCACAACTCAAACTTATCTGAGCGGCAAGAGGTGTTGCGGTTGTGCGGCAAGAGGTGTTGCGGTTGTGCGACAAAACGTGCTGGGCTTTTGAGGCTACAGATTGACGGTCGACTGGTTGGGCGACGGCAACACACCAGGGAGAGTGGTGTTGGGATGTTGGGCTTGGGCGGGGAGAACGTGCGATGCTGCCTTTTGTGTATATATATATATATATACACGTGTTTATTAATTATATATATGAATCCTATATTATGATCAGTGATTTACAAAAAAGAATTAAAGTGAAAAAAGCTCAAATAAATGTGCAGTGTAATTTTCACATGCTGCAGAATTATTTATTGAGGCTACCGTAATTTTTGTTTTTATTAGAATGATCTCCATCACATAGGTGGGATAATAATATTATACAAAATTAGATGCAAAAAAAATCAGCTGATTATGAAAATCACAAACCATAGCTGGTCCTCCAACTCCTATTTAATTGATGGAAAACTCTGATCATTTGTACAGTCTGAGTTCAGTCACACGACAAAAAATTAAAGCACAAATGAAAAAGACCAACAAAAACTAGAAAAAAAAAAAAAAAAACCTTCAAAGAATAATTTTAAATAATAATTAAATGTTATCTAAAAAAGTTGTTTTGTAAGTTTTATTTAAAAAAAATATATATTTTTTCTATGTAAAATGCAATTATAAAAAATTAAAATTAAAGTTCTTAATAATAATAAAAAAAAAACTTCCAAGTTCCAATATTTTTTTATTTTTTATTTTTTCTTAAGAATAAGTATGGCTTCTATTAGTATTGGAAGAGATAATGTCCTTATCAAGACAAATGTTAACCAAAACACTTTCATTTATCAATCAAACAAACCAGTCCCACTAATTGACTGGATTTCTTTTCACCAACTCAAATCAGGAAATCACTACACAAATAATATTCGACTACAACTCCATTCAACATATGTTATGCATACGCATGATATACAATTAATCAACCCGTAACCAATATGAATTCTATTACAAGTCACCAATCCAACACACTCGAAATAATAAACATACTACAAAAAGGCACTCCCACAACCAACCAACACAATTTTTTCATTCATCCAGACACAAAAAGTAGAAAATATGCAAAAGTCATGCCGATGCATAATTATATATACAAACATACACGTAATACAATGGGGTGCAGGGGTTACATTTATGCCTAATACATAATTTTAGATTTAGATATTAAAATTTATTATTATTAAAACATAAATGTATATTGAAAATCTCTTTTGGGAGATATAACAATATATGATAATTAAACTTAGTTGATGTAATTTTCTTAATTGGTAATCAAATGTACTTCGTTAGACATGTTCGTTATCTTTGAATGTACTAAACACACTTAATCAAGTACATTAATTAACCTCAGTGATGTTTATAATTATAGGGTTAACTAATCTACTACTGTAGGATCCTTAACTATCCTACAATTTATGAATTTCAAATTATTCATGTCAAATACATCATGTCATCTCACTAAAGCATCTAATGATCTTGAGTAATTGAATCTAAATTAGTTTGATATCTATGGGATAATCATTCTAATTTGGCCACTTTCGTGACTAACAAATTATACGTAATATAGTTATCAAACTTAAATAATAACTATAATTATATCCTAAGTGACATTCTATCTTTCTCTAAAGAAAATTATACTTTATAAACCTATACACATCCTTCACGTGCCCTCATGCACCCTGACGCCCTACCACGCACTGCCACATGCCCTCACGCGCCAGACACATGTCGTCACATATTGTCGTGCATTGTCACATGTTGGGCATGTGCTCTCACATGTTGGGCACATGCCCTCACGAGTCGATTAGCCCTTTTTGCCCTTTGACTAGTTTAGTCAATGGGCTGGACTGGTTTGACCCGTTGATCGGTTTGAACTATTGACGTTTGGCCGGATCAGTTTCACTCGTTTATACTTAATGAGTTGGGCTTTTATGGATTATTCTTAATGGGTTTGGGTTTGGGTTTGAATTGGGCTCTGGCTCACTTAATAAACGGCTTGGGCTTTTTTATTTGGGTTTTATAAACTTTTAAAAAAAAAAGGCTTTAAAAATGATCTGGATCAACTAAAGAAATAGTGTTATTATATGGGTCAATGTTTGACCCAAACTTTTGGAAATTTTATTGAAAACATGTCTGGAAAATCATGTTTCAACATCAGAACAATTCGATTCCATTCAACTTTCCAACCATTTAAGAGATTTACAAATCCAATCTAATTTGACAGTCATCTTATTTGTCAATTTCCAAACCCAATCTAATTTTTTTATACCATAAGAACCCTAATATATAAAAAATTAATTTAATGAAAAATACATCAGCTTCTAAACCTGGATTTACTCTAATACCACAGGTAAAAAAAAACTTAATATCAATTTCATCAATGACAAAGAATTAGTAATATAATCATATTTATATGCCTTAAATTGTATAAACATAAATCTTAATATCGGAAACTTAATGAATTTTTACTATTTATTAAAGAAGTAATACATACCTAGTTTCATGATTAAATTTCTTGATGATGTGAAAGAAAGTAGTGTATTTTCTCCCTTTGTTCCCTTTCTGTCAATTTCTTTTGCTGATAAAGAAAAACATATATTAAGGAATAGAGAGAGAAAACCCATTTTACATAGCATGCAGCTTTATTAATTGCCAAATTGCAGTTCTTTTATTAATGGTAATAACCTCTCATTCACAAGTAAATGACCGTCATGCCCTTTAGCTAATTTAATTATTTCAAAACAACCATGTGCCACCTTATGTGAATTAAAACATTTCCAACATCATGGTCAATATATATTCATCATGTAGGTGGAATATATATAAGAAAATTAGATGAATTTTGGGATACTAGAAGATATCTGAAAATGACAAAACTTAGGTGGTCTAACTTTTAATTTACTGAGAAGTTTAATTTATTGAAATAATTTTACAAAAGTAAAGCTTGGTTTATACATGTTGTGTCCTTGCCGCTTGGCTCAAACAATAATAAACTTAGCCAAAAAGTCAAATATTAAAAATTCAAAAAAGAAAAAATAGTTAACCTCACCTAAAAAGTTATGAATAATGCTATAAAATTGTTTAAAGTTAAATAATCTTAATATTTATTTATAATGTCATTAATATCACATCACTATTATTTATAATGTTTTTCATTTTTACTAATTAACATAAAAAACTAATATTCCTAATTAATTAAATAAATAAAGAAAAAAATATATCTTTATACTTGGACTTAGAGATGGCAATGGGCCCGATATTTTCGGGTACCTGGCCCGACCCAAAAGAGGCGGGTTTTACCCGAGGTTGGCGGGCTTGGGCTTGGGCCTGGGCTTGATTTTAAGGCCCGACCTCGGGTACGGGCTGGGCATAGGTATATCTTTAGGCTCGACCCGGCCTAGCCCGTCCCCAAAAAATTTTAGTATTAATTTTACTAATTTACCCTTATACTATATATTTAATTGCAATATTATCCTATATATATATATATATCCATTTTTCCCAAACTCTAACCTCAATTTTCATCCCATATTGAAGGTTTAACCTGTTAAAATTGCCTTTAAATGAGTTAGATGGGTTTGGTTCAACTTATAAAAGTGGATTTCACCATAACATATTATGCACAGCTGAAAAGTTAGTATAATCAAATATTATGAAGTTTTAATTGTTCACTTATTGCTTAAATTATTTGCAGAAATAGCTTCAATTAATATTTAAAAATTATTTCTAAAATTAAAAATATAAAAAAGAAAATTTGAAATTTATTAATATTTAAAAATAAACATTATTAAAAAAGGCGGGCTTGGGCCGGGCCTGCGGTTATAAAAAACCCGTCGGGTCGGGTTTGGGCTTTGCCTATCATACTCGTAGTGGGCTTGGGCCGGGCTTGGGTCTGTGTTATGAGGCCGGGCTTGGGCTTGGGCTTGGGCCAAGGGGTACCCGGTCCCGGCCCGGCCCATTGCCATCACTACTTGAACTAATAAATAATCGAATAAAGATTTTGAATTAACTAATTTTAATTTGTAATAAACTAATTAAGAAATAAACTATTTAAGGGTATTTCCCGTGATATCGGACCATTGATCACCTATGTTTCCAATAATTCTGTATCCATCAATCTCCTCGAGCTTTCTTCTTTCATTTGATTTGAATTTCACATTTTATAGCTTTGATGGAGACTCTGATCCCCTGCACCCAAAAAAATATATTAGAGGAATCCAAATACAAAATCAAATAAAATTTCAATTTAGAAATATATATACTTACTTGAGGATAAGTTTCTCCCATTTGGTGTACCCAGATTTCTTTAGATTGATTTCTGTAGCATCTTTCAAGCTTTCAGATTTTCCTGTGAGGAAGGCAACCTTTATCTCAAGACGCAATAACTCATTGTACAACTTAAGACTCGCCGGCACAGCTGGTGCATCGCTTTCCTCAAACCATTCCTTCATCGATGTCGTGTCCCTCGGCTCAGTCCTGAGATATTAATTTTCACACCATATCAATATAAAATAAATTGTAGTAATTAGAATTATATATATAACATTATTCTAACATAATCTTGATAAAAAAATATAATTATGAGTAGGTACCCATATCCCATTTGAGCCAAAAGAGGCAAATTAGAGAGAGTGGTCTCATCTAAGTCAAAGACCAGATGTTCTTGCCGTCCTGGGTGAGGTTCAGGCAAACTTTAGAGAGTGGTCTCATCATCCAAAGTTTTATACGACTAATTCTTGGTCACTCAACCACCCGGAATTTCTAGTCATTAATTAGAATATTGAAGACTAGACATTTATCTATGCCGAATCTTCGAATATTTTTCTAAGTTTAATATCAATTGTTGACATTGTTATAATCTCAAACAACAGTAAACAAATCTAGGCTGAGATGTGAAGGAATATATAGGTAATAATGTATGATAATAATTCAACTTAAATTAATTATTTTATGATTACGTACCCGTATCCATGCTTAGCATAGTAAGGCAAATTAGAGAGTGTTGTTTCATCTATGTCAAAGACCCAAATGTCCTTGCCGTCGCCGTCGAGTTTCAGGTTTCTAGCGTAGCGTAAAGCTAGATCAATAATGACGGCCGAATCTTTCTTGTATTGGTCACCTGACACGTATTGCTCCACGTAGTTTTCACACTCTTTTGGAACAGTTTCGAATCCGACAGTGTCGTTAGTTTCCATGGCAAGGTGCCAGCTCGGGCATGACAAGCTCGGAATATCGTATTTTCTGGCGTCGGATTGCGGCAGGAGAAGGTGGATATGATCACCTTGGGCTGGGATGTTGCTACAAGTGTAGCTAGGAATAATAAGAGCAGTGGGAACATTGGCAATAATATTGTTTTTGTAGAGAAGGGAAATATTTTAGAGTTGATACTTTAATTTGTTGCCAATTTGCCTCCTTTTCATAGCCTCTTTCTTGTGTAATGACCTCTTTCTTTATAATTTCTAAAAACCTGCGACTTTGACCATAACCTTATAACGCATATGATATGCATGGTGTATTAAATATATACTCCAAAGATCGATATATATATATCTTATATAATATTTATTTAGAAGATACAGATCTACATTTTGGTTGAGTTCTCACAATTTCTTTCCATATTTTATAAGATTTATGTCTTTTTATTTTACATTGATTCGAAGGGTTAGAGAATATAACTGCCTGAAACTGGTGAGTGGTGATCGATTGATTAAATCACCAAATTGATGAATAAGTAAAATGGAAAGTGCATCTTGATCCTTTGAAGTGGAGCTTTTGGGATGATACTTAATTTTGCCAGTTTCTTTGTCATTTCTCTTGTTTCCAAGTTCACAAGAATCAATGAATATCGAGAAAAGAGGGTAATATAAAATTAAGTTCACATTGAGATAGCCAGATAGGCACCACATGAGTAAGAACAGGGGGTGTTTTTTAGATCATTTGTGTGATTAATTAAATAGTTAAGTCGATGGATGTATCAAAAACGTTTTTAATCATGCATGTGAGTACGTAATCTGTTAGTTTGCAGGATACGGCAATGAAAACGCTAACTTTGACATCAAGAGGTGTGATTTTCAAAAACTTAATTTAAATTTAAATTTGTATGAGTTAGAGCTTCTAATTTTAGTTTTTTTTTTTTTTTTTTTTTTTTTTTTGGTTTAATAAAATAGGTAATATGAAAGTGATGGATACACTGAACCACGTACAAAATGTTGTGTTGTCCTATGGTAATGATTATATTGCGTATGTTTTGAAGAGGGTTAAAAACTCATAATAAGGGGTAAAGACGTGAATTAAACTACAGTACAATTGTAAAAAGCTTATAATAAATAATATATTGGATATATATTATAAAAAAAATATGAGTATTTATTTATAATACTCTTTATAAATAATATATTTATGATTGTGTTTAACAATATGGAATAAATTAGTGTAAAACAAAACTAAGAAAATTTATTAATGAACAAGTTATTAAGCCAACACAAATAATAACACCTTCAAATTAAACTACAATAAAATTCTTATTAATAAAATGTTCAAATATTTATCTAGCTTTTATAGTAAAATATCATAACTTTTATTATAATTTCATTTTTATGTTTCGACCTCTTAAAATAATGCATCAAAATATAGATTTTTGATATTTGTCTTTTTTTTTCCTAACTTCAATATTTTGATGTGACTTATCTGTAGGTAGTCTAATAGTTAAAACGAAGTGGGGATAGTGTGGATAAGTACATAGTCTTAGGTTTGATTTTCCATCTGAGCATTCGCAATTTAAGTGAGAGGTTGTGGCGATGGGTTGTAAGCTAGCCCTTAGAAACATGGGCGGATCCAGCCCACTTGGCCCACCCTCAATTTTTTTTTCTTTAATATTAATATATATAATTTTTGGATTTTGGCTCACCCTAACAAAAATATTAATATATAATTAGTTTTTATTTTGGCCCACTCTAAAAAAAATTTCTGAATCCGCCACTGCTTAGAAATATATATAGTAAGAAGTATTGAAATCCAAAACAATTGACAATAATTAGTTTGACAAACAAATTTTAGAAATGATATTTATTTTATAAAATATGTAAAAAAATATACAAACTTTCTTCATTTTGTTCTTTGTACAATTAAATAATAGATATAAAATTCATTATATAATTTATTAAATGTATGTGTGGGATTTTTTTTTTGCAAAAACTAAGAATTTAATTTTATATATTTGAATATTTGATGAATTTAAAAGTAAAGTCCATATATATATTTGATAATTTTTCAAAGTCAATGAAGGTCAATGACCCTCCTTGACCCCCCCTCCCTCCGTCCATGTGGTCTTGTATAGGCTTTTGTCTCGTCCTAACCCACTGCTTGTCCGATGGTAAGATGTGTTTTGGAAGATAGTGTTTTTGTATAACTCTTTAATCTTGGTTAAACTTTTATTTTTGATTCTATATTAGGAGTTTGTCCTGTGGTAGATTGATTGCCTTTTATAGGCCACTGTATACATTATTTTTCCTTTTCTATTTAAAGCTTAATTACCAAAAGAAAAAGAAAATACTAAATGATGTGTGTTAAATCAGAAATTCAAGATTATTACAAGCACTTATATTGAACAATAGAGCTTGTTGACTAGAAAAAATATTTGTTTAATAATTCATCTAATTGTAGTATTAAATGAATGCATCATGGATTCATGGGAGAATCTTGAAGCGATCAGCCCCATATGAAGAGAAAATCTTAACAGTTGGTATGAAAAAAAATTAATTCAAGCAGACGAGCTCTAAAATATATTTTCTATAGTTATAAAGTGATGTTATTTGACCCCATCGTTTATCTTTATAAACCCTATTTCTAAGTTTATCCTTTTAAATTTTTTAAAAAACATATCTAAATGTCTAAATAAACCCAGTCCATTTATAAATATTCTCACCATTCATATTATATTTTCTCTTTATATATACTATTATCTTTTATCTTCAATTAATATCAATCAAACATATAATCGGTTGCACACTTTGTTAAGTTTCAATCATGATTCATATGACATATTTTCTTAAAAAAGAAAAATAAAAGAATAAAAAATATATAAATATATAAATCTGATAAATGTACAAATACAATTGAAATTAGAAATAATAAAAAAGGATAAAAAATAAACCCAAAAAATATAATATTACGTACTATTAAGCAAACTCGTTCAGTCATGATCTATATTATTTTGGATTTACGATGTAGAAAGTAAAATAAAAAAATTTAAATTAATAGCAAAAGATTCATTCTAGATGAGTTGTGCATAAATACAGTAATACTACATATACATAATTTTCATACAACATTATGTGACAAGATATGATTGGTTAATTTAAAGTTAAAATTAAACTTTCATATAATCATATGTTGTATGAGAAATGTTGTATGAAAAATGTTGTAAGAGAATAATGTATGTGTAATATTATTCAAATACTTTTATCTTCCTTAATAATTTTTATAAAGGATAAAACTATAATAAAGAAGGAAATAATAATCGGAGTCTAGTAAGATAAAATGCGAAGAGCCAATAGCATCACTCAGTTGCAATAGCTAAAGTTTAACCATCAAAGTGTTCGATTTATATAGGTAGCTTATTTTGACCATCAAAGTGTTCGATATTTGAGGCGCAAATACATATTTTATTTTTATTTTTATTTAATATTATGTACTAAAATCACATGGTAAATGAGTCTTATATTATATAAGTTAGAAGATAGAAAATATTTTTACATTTATTTAATACAATTGATTTAGACAGATTTTCCATACCAAACGTCGCACATGTTAAAAGAATCTTTACCTTATTAGTTAATAAACTAGCCAGATAAGTTCAAATAATAGAAGATTGAAAATATTTGTTAGAGTAAACGACATGTTCCCACCCAAGGTTTCCTAAATCTATAAGTTCCCACCCCTAATTTCATATATTCCATATTCCCATTATTAAATTAATATCATTAGTGACCGTTAAATTCTAACATATATACCGAAGGTGTTATTATTAAACTGCCCTCCTATCTTCTACTTCTTCATCTCTCCCTCCTCCCGTCATCTTCTTGTTCATCTCGCCCTCCTCCTCCTGTATTCATCTTCTTCATCTTCCCATCCAACCATTCAAGACCTTTAAGTAACCAATTCAAGACTTAAAACACAAACAAGATCTAAAGATAGATGACATTTATAGTGAAATTTGATATATAAAAGGTTAAGACTCCTCATCCCATAGATCTTCAAGGGTCTTGAAATTTAATTCATAAGAAAACACAAGAAAATTTTGATGTGGATAAACCTCTTCAATGTGAAGAGAGTAAAAAACCATGAGAATCTAAAGATTCACTTAAATCCAATATAATCAAAAGAGTTTACAGCAATTACAATCCACTAAAAATATTTCACACAAATTTAAAACTCAATCACAACTCTGAAACAAATAAAATACATAAATGTTTATAAAGAGATGGATTAAAATCGCCAGAGAAGCAATCAAACTTCAAGCTGTATAACTCCAAATCCAACCATTAAAATCAAAACTCAACAGTCTAGATTAAAATTTTAACAAAACGTTTCCTCATTTACTCATCAACCAAACAGACTGTTAATTGTGAAGCCATTAAATGTTGCCATATGGATTAACACCATGCGTTGCCGTTTTGGTCCTTTATTGTTTGCAATCCTGATCGTCAATCTGTGACTAATCCAATGGTTATCACTCCACTTGTTGGTCAACGGTATATAAGCGTGTGATTTTTCAGCTTTTAAAGAACACATGTCGCTCTTCTTCGATTAAAAACTTTCTCTTTGCTAAGGTTCATCTGTACACTCTAAATCTTGTAATCCATTGTGCAATCTGTTGAATCGTGGTTAGAAGGTTGTGTTCCCTTCAAGGGTAGAGAAGCTAGGATAGTTTTCTCTTAGGATTAAGGGTTATTGTGGTTGATTTGAGTGATTAGTCTGTATAGAGGGTTTTGCGATTGTTTGGTTGTGATTGTACTCTGTTAACTCTCAATAATCCTAGTGCAGTGAGTCTTAGTATTCTAGAGCTCAACGTGGACGCAGTTTGTTCAATCTTGAACAAGTGAACCATGGTAAAATCGTGTTCTTGATTGGTTTTGTGTATGATGTTAAAGATATAATTGATATTTAGGCTCTAATCGTAACAAGACTATAAAAGATATACTTGAATAACAAAAAAAAAAAAAAAAAAAAAAATTAGAATTCAGAGCAATATTACTAAACAAAAAGGAGGTAAAAAAACAGCAAAAGTTTGTCTCATTTTCTCATCAATCTAACAGACTAAAAAGTAAAAAGACCATAACAAATTAAAATAAAAAACCGTAGTATTAAGAGAAAAATACA